TTTATTTGGGCATAAGCTTTCGTGAGTAAAAACCTCACTTACTCACGAAAGCTTATGCCCAAATAAATCTGTTAGTCTTTAAGGTGCCACCAGACTCTTTGTTGTTTTTGTAGATACAGACTAACACGGCTACCCCCTGATACTTGACAGAATACAAAGTGTACAGTGCTCACTTTATATTATTTTTATTACAAATGTTTGCACTGTAAAAAATAAAAGAAATAGTATTTTTCAATTCACCTCATACAAGTACTGTAGTGCAATCTCTTTATCATGAAGGTGCAACTTACAAATGTAGATTTTGTTGTTGTTGTTACATAACTGCATTCAAAACCAAAACAATCTAAAACTTTAGAGCCTACAGGTCGTCTCAGTCCTACTTCCTGGTCAGCCAATCGCTAAGAGAAACAAGTTTGTTTACGTTTATGGGAAATAATGCTGCCTGCTTCTTATTTACAGTGTCACCTGAAAGTGAGAATAGGTGTTTGCATGGCACTTTTGTAGCCGTCATTGCAAGGTATTTATGTACCAGATATGCTAAACATTTGTATCCCCCTTCATGCTTTGGCCACCATTCCAGAGGACATGCTTCCATGCTGATGATGCTAGTTACAAAAATAATGCGTTAATTAAATTTGTGACTGAACTCCTTGGGGGGAGAATTGTATGTCTCCTGCTCCGTTTTACCCACATTCTGCCCTATATTTCATGTTATAGCAGTCTTGGATGATGACCGAGCACCCATTGTTCGTTTTAAGAACGCTTTCAATGCAGATTTGACAAAACACAAAAGTTACCAATGCGAAATTTCTAAAGATACAACACTCGACTCAAAGTTTAAGAATCTGAAGTGCCTTCTAAAATCTGAGTGGGATGGGGTGTGGAGCATGCTTTCAAAAGTCTAAAAAGACCAACACTCTGATGCGGAAACTACAGAACCCGAAAATCAACCTTCTGCTGGTGGCATCTTACTCAGATGATGAAAATGAACATTTGTCAGTCTGTACTGCTTTGGATCGTTATGAAGCAGAATCTGTCATCAGCATGGACACGTCCTCTGGAATGGTGGTTGAAGCATGAAGGGACATGAATCTTTAGCACATCTGGCATGTAAATATCTTGCGACGCTGGCTACAACAGTGCCATGCAAACACCTGTTCTGACTTTTAGGTGACATTTTAAACAAGAAGCGGGCAGTATTATCTCCCACAAATGTGAATACACTTGTTTGTCTGAGCGATTGGCTGAACAAGAAGTAGGACTGATTGGACTTGTAGGCTCTAAAGTTTTACATTGTTTTGTTTTTGAATACAGTTATTTTTGTACATAATTCTACATTTGTAAATTCAACTTTTATGATAAAGAGATTGCACTACAGTACTTGTAATGGGGGAATTGAAAAATACTATTTCTTTTTTTTTTTTACATTGCAAATATTTGTAATAAAAAATAAATATAAAGTGAGCAGTGAACACTTTGTATTCTGTGTTGTTATTGAAATCAATGTATTTGAAAATGTAGAAAACATCCAAAATATTTAAATAAATGGTATTCTATTATTGTTTAGAAGTGCAATTAATCATGCGATTAATCGCAATTACTTCTTTTTAATCGCTTGACAGCCCTAATTTTTTTAAAATAACTGTCTCAATTTCAAAAATCCTCTGCATGAAGTTTCCATATTAATCTGTTACCCATGAACGTCCAGTCACATGATTACTCATTTGTTTCAATCTCTTCTAGGGTGACCAGATGTCCCGATTTTATAAGGACAGTCCCAATTTTTGTTTTTTTTATATAGGCTCCTATTACCCCCCACCCCCGTCCTGATTTTTCACACTTGCTGTCTGGTCACCCTAATCTCTTCATACTGTAACTTCAAAGTACATATCCCTGATAGCAGAGCAAGAGACAGAGTAGATGGGGTATCAGCCACTAGAAAAGGACAGCTGATCACTAATCTGAAAGTAGCTGGCAACCGCTGCATGCCCTGTAGTACGTCAGATATCAGAACAGTTTGAAAACTTCAGAGCATTTTTCTATCCATCATGGGATTGTTCTTCCTTTAAATATCACTGCAGAACGGTCAAGCATATACAGAAAAGAAACGGTTTAAGATTTTATAGGGTTACTCACTTACAAGCAATTCTATGAAAATGACTTTTGCTTTTAATTATCTTATTAATAGTTTCATCAGATGAAACCTGAAATGCTTAATTCAGCATTTCAAGATACGTTTTTTTAAAGTTTGGATATTAATCTGTTACCCAGCATTTTGCATGTTAACATCAAAATTATCAATTAAATGTAATTATTTTTAAGATTGCTGTAAATAAATTACTTTGTGTACACAGAACTAATGTACAATTAAGGATTCATAAATTTGTAGCAGTTTCAAAATTCCCATTGAAATTGAGAGGAGTTCTTGTTTTCATTGCATGCCTGGCAAAGGATGTGTGAACTATTAATGTTAGCAGAGCGCCTCAAGTTTACTTTGCGGACTTCTAGTTTTTGATGAAAAGCTATTTCCTTGATTACATCCATCTTGATAAGAAGTCCTCCCCCCATTATGTACTTGTAAATGACAACACATTTAGACTGCTGTCATTCTAAAAATGAAGAACAGATAAGGTAAATAGAAGTAAATAGACAAATTCAGAGAAGTAAAAATGTCACCCACAGTACTTTTAACACAAATCCCTCATTTCCTGTTACTCTCCTTTGATCATGATCGCTTCATCCTTCTGAACTAATCAGCTTTTTGGAAAAAATAAAATGTTCAGACTTCATCCTTTTCCGCGATTATCGGATGGTTTCTTTAATACAGATATGTATTTTTGAGGTTCTCCTTTTCTCGTATCCTTGTCACAAACTAGAGGCTTTTCTAGAACCATGCACAAGCGAGGACTCTTTCCATCACTACAGTGAGGTCCTCCTTCATATAGGTCTCCCCAAAGAGTTGGTAAATGGGGAGGGATAGCTCAGTGGTTTGAGCATTGGCCTGCCAAACCCAGGGTTGTGAGCTCAATCCTTGAGGGGGCCACTTAGGGATCTGGGGCAAAATCAGTACTTGGTCCTGCTAGTGAAGGCAAGGGGTTAGACTCAATGACCTTTTGGGGTCCCTTCCAGTTCTATGAGATAGGTATATCTCCATATATTATTATTACTCAGACATAGGTTAGGGGTTTGTTACAGGAGTGGGTGGGTGAGATTCTGTGGTCTGCGTTGTACAGGAGGTCAGACTAGGTGATCATAATGGTCCCTTCTGACCTTAAAGTCTATGAGTCTATGGTCTGCACCTCACTGTTCTCACATATATTCGTGTAATTAAAGTAGCCCTATTTGATTACATTAATCTTTGATTTGCCAGTTTATTCAGGCATCACTACATTGACCAGTCTGTATTGGCCCCTCCAGAAAAGTCCTCCTAGGGTTCCAGATTTATTTCAGTGTGTCCAACTGCGTGTAGTCTTTCATTCCATAACCTCAGTTCTACTTTACCAGCTGTCGTATCCAAAAGCACAACACTGGCAGGGGTGAAAGTAACTTAAAGGACTTACTGGTACGCTGGAGTCATGAGTGGGTATGGCCTCAATGGGAAAAGGCGTGGCCTCAATGGGAAGAGGCAGGGCCTTTCGAGATTTAAAGGCCCTGGGGCTCCTGCAGTGGCTGGGAGCCCCAGGGCCTCTAAAGCACTCCAGAGCTACCAGCTGTAGAGGCGGCTGGGAGCCCCGGGGCTCAGGGGCGAATTAAAGGGCCCAGGACTCCAGCCACCATGGAGCTCCGGGCCCTTTAAATCACCACGGGAGCCCTGCCACCGCTACCCTGGGGCGGCAAGGCTTGGGCTACGGCTGGGGTAGTGGTGGCAGGGCTCCAGGAGTGATTTAAAGGACCTGGGGCTCCAGCCACTGCGGGGAGCCTAGACCCTTTAAATCCCCGCCGGAGCCCGGCTCCCAGGGCTCCAGCAGCCGGGCTCGGGCAGGAATTTAAAGGGCCCGGTGCTCCTGCCGCTGTGGGGAGCCCCAGGCCCTTTAAATCACTGCTGGAGCCCTGCCATCGCTGGGGTAGCAGCAGCCGGGCTCCGGCGGGGATTTTAAGGGCTTGGTGCTCCAGCCACTGCGAGGAGCCCCGGAACCTTTAAAGCGCCACCGGAGCTCCGGCAGCAGGGCTTGGGCGGTGCTTTAAAGGGCGCGGAGCTCCCCTCAGGGGCCGGAGCTCTGGGACCTTTAAATCCCCACCCGAGCCTGGCTGCCGGAGAAGCCGGTCCAGTGCGGCACGGCATACTGGCTCTTGCTGGTATGCCGTACCAGACCGGACCAGCTTACTTTCACCTCTGAACACTGGTTATAAAACTCTTTCGTGATGTAAGGTGCTTGATGACTACAATAGATTAACTCAATGCTGGGACAAGTCACCTGAAGAATGGCAAAGCAGCTGGACTTGATGATGTATGCACAGATCAGATTAAGCATTTTGATCTTGCAATCAAGTTATGGATATTATACCTTCTTATCAATTGCTCATCAACCCTTAGAATACCGAAATTACGGTGATGAGCCCATGTAATTTTTGAGGTAATAGGAAGGTAAGCAGAAGCCTATTGATGCTGCACCCTGTATCTACGAGAAATACCCAATGGTCATAGCGAATTAATGCTTTTCACAGAGAATGTGCCATGGCATTATCTCTCTGAAGTATATAGGATAAAATCCTAAAGTCTGTGGAGTTTTAAGCATGTAATTGAGAGCAGAATTTAGTTGTGTATCATTTTCACTGTCAGCAAGGGATGTGAGGGAATGTGGTAGCGAAATGTGCTATCCACCTCTTTGCACCACATGTATCTGTCCATAATTGATTAATATTAGGATACAAATGAAGATAAACTTTGGCCAGGTGCTTAGTATATGCATGTTTACCTGCATTCACTTTTTCATAGTTACGTTGAGCAGCTGTATTATGTCTTGCCACATAGCAGAGCCTCATGGAAAAACATAACTTAAATTATGGGTGTAGCCTTTCTCTGCCCATGTTGTATGCCTAGGAAAACCGCATAGCTTTTTTTTTTCAGCTGCTGGTATATGAAGAATTTAAATGTTCTAGATTTAATAAAGAAAGAAGTGGTCCATGCATTTTATTTTAGAGACTTTTTATTGAATTATATATCACACAGTCAATTGTTCTGACCTTTCTACAGTTTAATTTCTGTCTGAGGTAAATAAAATGAGGCGCGTCAACTTAGTTTGCAATGGGCATGTACTTAAACTGCCAATATATCATATTAATAGAGAATACAGCATAATAAATGGGCCCCCTTGTTTATGTGCACGATGTCTGCTTGTTTATAAAATAAACTTACATTCCCAGTGAATACTGCATTAAAAAAAAAAAAGGTGTGGCATCTGCTACCAGTTATAGTACTTTGTTAAGGTCTCAGTCCTGATGTCATTTAACTCAGATATGATTGATTTTCAGTGGAGTAGGCGCAGGCCCTAAATCATTCAGCCATCCACTTCAGAGGACATAGGAAAGAGGTTGCAAAAATGTGATGGCTGATATCTAGAGCATATCTTTAGGGAAAGAGAAAACTCAGCCCTCCTCAGTAATTTCCACTCTTAACAACTTGTTATCACTTCTTCTCACAGGTGAAGAGCCAGAAGAAACTGTCTTTGATATGCCTAAAATCTATGAGCCAATTGAATCTTTTAATCACCTAAAGGACCGTTTAAATATGTTTCTACAAACATACAACGAGAGCATTCGGGGTGCACGTCTGGACATGGTGTTCTTCAAAGATGCTATGATTCATTTAGTCAAGGTAAGATGAGCACGTTCTCCTCCTCCTGCCTTTTCATGACCAGAAGTTTGACATTATAGAAAATTTTACTTTCTGTAATCATGTGGGATTTCAGTTATTCTGTCAAATAAAGTGGGGGTATAGGCTTGTGTTTTGTTTCTGTTTTAAAGTAATATAACACAAGTCTAGATTTTTGCATAGAAATATAAAGGGCTAGATGTGCATTTAGCCACAGTTCCAAATACCGAGTGGTGAGGCATCCAAAGGAAACACAATTCCTTGGAGCTTCCCTCACCTGAATGGGTAATAGAGCACATCAACTCTCTATAAAATGCATCAAACACACCTTTCCTGTCCCATCTAGCCAGAGAAGTAGAACCATGGTTTTACATACAATGCTTTTCTTTGCCTTTTTCTATTAATTGGGTTGCAGAAAGTAGTATTGCCTTCCCCCACCCTCATCCCTCACTCTGCCCATAATGACAAAACCCACAATTGGGGTAGCACCAAAGCATCTTTGTAGGGAAAAGCAAGGTCAGCCTTACTCAGCCACACAGCCATTTAGAATGGGGGCAAAGTCTAGCTACAAATTTCCACTCCTGATTCACAGTATGCTCTCTTGTTTTGTCAAACCTCAGAACGTGAAACTCATTATACTTACTGCACACAGCTGATTATAATTCAGAGCACAGTGGAACCCAGGATGATGGAAACACAGAAAATTTCTAAACTAAATAGTAATATCACCCTAATTCTTCCTTTGTAAACTGCAAACGTTGTATTTCTCCACTGCACCGTGGGCTCAGCCCTGTTTCTCAGCCATTATTTTAATAAAAGTTGTGGTGAGGTCGTATATTAGATTACTTGAACTAGATTACATTAATTGAAAAAAATGTGGTAAAAAAGTACTAGTAAGTAGTAAGTAAATAAATCTAAATTACACTTGTTGAAATAAAAAAAAACCCAACTTTGATGTGCTGTTGAAAATTGCATTTTTGTGTTTGATTGTTGAAAAATGAATTAAAAAAAATTGGGTAATCTGCAAAAAGTAACTCAGAGCAAATTAGTGAGGTTCTGCTAACAATTTTTAGTCTGGTAAGTAGTGGTGGTAATCCTGTCCGGGTATAAATTTTGGTCCACACCCTTGTACAACAGCATTAACTGTTCGTAAATGTATACATGCATAGATTAAGGCAAAATGGTAACACTGTGATTACTTGCCTGACTTCACAGGCCACTGAACCTTGACCAGTAACTGTGGGATCAAGCCCATAACTTCTGTTTGAGCTATGTCATATCTGTTAGAAAGATATCCAATCTTGACCTAAAGACTTCTATTGACAGAGAGTCAACCAAAACCCTAGGTAAATTGTTCCAATGGCTAATTACCTTCACTTAAAAATGTGAACCTTATTTCTAGTCTGAATTTGCCTAGTTTAAGCATGACAATCTCACTGTGCCTTTTTCTGGTAGGTTAAAGAGCAGAATCTACTGTCAGATGTCTCTTTCTTACATAGGTTCTAATAGACCATCATCAAGTCCCTTCTTCGCCTTAGCCTTCTCTTGGCTAAACTAAATAGATAAAATGTCAGTCTCTTATTATAAGGCATGTTTCTGGATCTCAAATACTTGTATAGCTCTTTTCTGAACCCTTTCCAGCTCAACATTCTTTTAGAAGAGTGGACACAGGAACTGGACATATGATTCCAGTAACAGTTTGCTAATGCTGTATACAGAGGGAATAACTTTCCTACTCCTACTTCATATTACTTTATACATCAGAGGATCCCATTAGTCCCCTTAGCTACAGCATCACGTTGAGAGCAGATGATGAACTCTCAGCAACTGGGCTCCAGAGCCATGGACAAATACGTGACGGCTGCAGAGGATTCCCGTCTGCGGGGCTATTTATTGCTTCCTTGGCTGTTCTCCCAGGCTGGTTGCAACGTACCAGTCAGACCTGTTGGGGGAGGCATTGTCTGCCCCTAACAAACCTGCTGAATGATGGCAAGGAGACGGAGTGAGGATGTGGAGCCTAAGACGGTGCTTTAAAACAGAGCTTTCATCCAGTAACACAAGACAGGGCCCATTGGGGCAAAGACTTGCATCCCCCAGTAATAACCTAGGTTGGAGAGAAGCCCATAGCAAAGCCTATACCTGGCTTTTTAAAAGACAGCTAGGAACCCATCCCTGATCTTCACTGCTGACATTCCTGCTGTGTCTGTCTATGTGAGAATGAGTTCATTTAAAGGAATTCCCCATCCTGCTGAGCAAATCCACCAAACCTAACCCTAGAGTAGATACCACTCTCCTCAGCCCACCTTGTTCACTGCAGGCCCATTATCCTGGTGATCAGTGCAGTCATTTGCATGTAAATTGAAGGAGAATTTGGCTCTTGTCACTAAGGGTACATCTGCACCTCAAACTGGAAGTGTAATTTCCAGCTCGAGGAGACATGCCTGTGTTAGCTCTAATCGAGCTAACGTGCTAAACATAGGTCTCCTCAAGTTGGAAATTCTGCCTCCATCTTGAAGTGTAGATGTACCCTTATGACAGAGCTAGATATGAAGGGAAATGTGGGGCATGATCTGATCACTATTCCTTTGTTTAAAATACATTTAAAATAGCGAGATGGGAAGGAAAAGGAACTCCACTTGTGAAATGTTCTAGCCCAATAATATATAAAAATGCCACTACTACAGTGAAGGTGGTTGATTGTGGAAACAGAGGATTGTGCTTCTTAAAACTGTACAGTACTTAGCTTTATCTATCTAGGTACTTACATGGCATTCATGACCATGGTATGGGGATGTCTCAGAATCATTAATGGATTTTATCATCATGATGCCCAGGGAAGACAGGGCAACAGGAACACCATTTCACAGATGGAAGACCGACTCACAGAGTAGATTAAGTGAGCTGCCCAAAGTTGCACAAAAAGCTTATGGTTGACATGCAAATTGAACCTAGGCTTCCTGTATCCCAGCCCAGGGCTTTGTCCTCTAAACTACCTTTCTTCTCCCCAATGTTTTGAAGTTACTTTAATAGCTCTGTCTGACACTACACCAGTAACTCTGATGACTAATGAGTTACTTTTGATTTACACAAATGAGAAATCAAAATTAATGTTAAATTTACAGTGAACGGTAAGGGAGATATAGAGCATAAGGTTTATATGGTATTACAGGAAATCCTGTAGAAATCTATTCTGACAAGACAACACTGTTATCATATAGTAATATTTAAAGTGGAAACAGCACTTCCTGTACTATAATGGTATGTTGTGTTTACATGTGATCAGTTTCTCATACAAATAAGTTTTCAAAATTAAAGGATTTGTAATTCACAAAATAAAAGTGTGATAATTCTAAGGTTCTCACTAATTCGAAGGTTCCCCTTGCTATGGTGGCTTAAATTGTTCTGGCACAAACATTCCATATATTTAGCAACAAACTGCCATGTTGATCTGTAGATTTCTCGTGTGATTCGCACCCCTCGTGGAAATGCTCTCCTCGTTGGAGTTGGTGGCTCAGGAAAGCAGAGCTTGACTAAACTGGCATCATTCATAGCTGGCTATGCTACATTCCAGATCACTTTAACAAGGTAGGCTGTTGAACAAGATATATTTCAATAACATGTACTCTGATTTCTGGGTTTTGGATTCCTTCTACAAGCAGAGCATATAGTGGCAACCACAGTTGAGAATGGAAACGTGTGCATCCTTAAGAGCTTTTTAAAAATGTTTGCCTTTGTTTTCTGTGCTGAAATACAATGTGTCCTCCCAGTCTGAATGTCTTTCTTAAATAAGCAAAAAATAACAGGTTAATGCCTGAAATTACTGTAATTAAAAGCCTAGAGAAAAATGTTTTTTAATTTAGTTTACTTTGTGCCTTTGAGAGTGTGTTTTGTGCGGTTGGTTTGTTTGCCATGCACCATTAATCCCTTTTGTGTTTGAGTGGGTCTTTAAGAGTCACAGAGAAAGGGGTCAACATTTACCTCTTTTAAAAAAAGAAATGATGACAAAATTACAAATTGGGTATGTTTATTTAAATTGAGACTTAAAATGGGCTGTGGCTCTTTAACCACTCTAAATGGATATTCTTGAGCATAATTACATAGTTTGTGCATTGAATGCAAAGATATTTTTGCTGGGCACATTTGTTTACCAACATCCCCATTTAAAAGTTTTGAGTGGCAACATAACTGTTTTTTCTCTAGATCATACAACACTTCAAACCTGATGGAAGACCTGAAGCTCTTGTACAGGACAGCAGGGCTACAAGGAAAGGGCATCAGCTTCATTTTTACAGATAATGAGATCAAAGATGAGTCTTTCTTAGAATACCTGAATAATGTTTTATCATCTGGAGAGGTACAATTTTTACTTTCTTGTTTCTTTCATCCTTTTTGGTTTTGTAATCAGGGAGCAGAGAGAGGGCCTGATTATGGGTAGCTTGATTCATGTGAGTAGTCTCTTAGACATCATGGCAGCAGTTTTACAAATGCAGTCTCAAGTGATATGCGGCACTGGAATCTTAATACAAATTGGTCATCTCTCCATCACAGAATCTGACTGTGTGGTGAGGCAAAGCTGTAGCAGCCCTCAGTGGTGAAAGAACAGGTTAAGGACTATTTAGAAAACATGGACATGCACCAGAACATAGGCCCGGATCTAATGCATCTGAGGGTGCTGAGAGATTGGCTGATGTGATTGCAGAGCCATTGGCCATTATCTTTGAAAACTTGTGGTGATCAGGGGAGGTCCCGGACGATTGGAAAAAGGCAAATAAAGTGCCCATCTTTAAAAAAGGGAAGAAGGAGAATCTGGGGAACTACAGACCGCTCAGCCTCACCTCAGTCCCTGGAAAAATCATGGAGCAGGTCCTCAAGGAATCCATTTTGAAGCACTTGGAGGAGAGGAAGGTGATCAGGAACAGTCAACGTGGATTCACCAAGAGCAAGTCATGCCTGACCAACCTGATTGCCTTCTATGATGAGATAACTGGCTCTGTGGATACAGGGAAAGCGGTGGACGTGATATACCTTGACTTTAGCAAAGCTTTTGTTACAGTTTCTCACAGTGTTCTTGCCAGCAAGTTAAAAAAGTATGGATTGGATGAATGGACTATAAGGTGGATAGAAATCTGGCTAGATCGTCTGTCTCAATGTGTAGTGATCAACGGCTTGATGTCTAGTTGGCAGCCAGTATCAAGTAGAGTGCCCCAGGGGTCTGTCCTGGGGCTGTTTTTTTTCAACATCTTCATTAATGATCTGGATGATGGGATGGATTGCACCCTCAGAAAGTTCACGGATGACGCTAAGCTGGGGGGAGAAGTGGATACGCCGGAGGGTAGGGATAGGGTCTAGAGTGACATAGACAAATTGGAGGATTGGGCCAAAAGAAATCTGATGAGGTTCAACAAGGACAAGTGCAGAGTCCTGCACTTAGGATGGAAGAATCCCATGCACTGCTACAGGCTGGGGACCAACTGGCTAAGCGGCAAGGACCTGGGGATTATAGTGGACGAGAAGCTGGATATGAGTCAACAGTGTGTCCTTGTTGCCAAGAAGGCTAACGGCATTTTGGGCTGTATAAGTAGGGGCATTGCCAGCAGATCGAGGGAAGTGATTATTCCCCTCTATTTGGCACTGGTGAGGCCACATCTGGAGTATTGCATCCATTTTTGCCCCCCCCCGCCCCACTACAGAAGGGATGTGGACAAATTGGAGAGAGTCCAGCGGAGGGCAACAAAAATGACTAGGGGACTGGGAGACATGACTTACGAGGAGAGGCTGAGGGAACTGGGCTTATTTAGTCTGCAGAAGAGAAGAGGGAAGATTTGATAGCAGCCTTCAACTACCTGAAGGGGGGTTCCAAAGAGGATGGAGCTCGGCTGTTCTCAGTGGTGGCTGATGACAGAACAAGAAGCAATGGTTTCAAGTTGCAGTGGGGGAGGTCTAGGTTGGATATTAGGAAAAACTATTTCACTGGGATGGTGGTGAAGCACTGGAATGGGTTACCTCGGGAGGTGGTGGAATCACCATCCTTAGAGGTTTTTAAGGCCCTGCTTGACAAAGCCCTGGCTGGGATGATTTAGTTGGTGGTAGCCCTGCTTTGAGCAGGGTGTTGGACTAGATGACCTCCTGAGGTCTCTTCCAACTCTAATCTTCTATAATTCTATGATTGTATGAAATTTAGTGCAGAGCTATTTATCCCCTAGAATGAAAATACGTGAATCAGGTCTTTTAGATGTCTTGACAAACTCAAACTGAGACACATTATAGAAATAAAGGATGAGATCTGAAACAATGTGAACTTTGTTTCTTAAACATTTATAAAGTTTTCTGTTTGATTCAGAGTTTTAGTAACTTTCAGAAGTAAAATAGGCTTGTGCGGGAAGGAGGTAAAGTTATATCTAAAATTACTAACATACATTGTATTTAGGATGGCAGGTTTTGTTCCAGAGAGGTGTTTTAACTAGTTAACTTAACACTAAAATGAGGGAAATTAACCCAAGTCTTTTAAAGCAGCAAGTAAAATTAGTCATAGTGGGTCTGATTCTCCATTCTTAGACCAATTTGTTACCAGTGTGACTCCACTGGTTTTGGTAGAGTCAATGACATAAAACTGATGAAATGGTGTGGAGCGAGGGGCCCAATGTGTTTATATCAGAACTGTATGCACCTACTTGTCATGCTCTGTGAATGAGAGCTTCCACAGTACATCATTCCAGTCACAATAGCCCACCAAACTGATTTTAAAAAATCTGCTTCTTTTTGATAAGGTCTCCAACTTGTTTGCACGTGATGAAATTGATGAAATCACTAGTGATCTCATACCTGTCATGAAAAAGGAACACCCACGTCGACCTCCAACCAATGAGAATTTGTATGAATATTTCATGACCAGAGTCCGTCAGAACCTCCATGTAATACTTTGTTTTTCACCAGTGGGTGAAAAATTCCGAAACAGAGCCCTGAAGTTCCCTGCCCTTATTTCTGGTTGTACTACAGACTGGTTCAGCCGGTGGCCTAAGGATGCACTGGTTGCAGGTGAGTGTTAGTTGAAGCTCTGTAGTCCTGCTATGCTGAATCTGGAAATTCAATGAAGTAAATAGGGAAAATTCCCCCCTTACCAAATGGGCAAGCTTCTTCGACGCATAATATTGGATTTAAGCTTTTCTTTGTTCTGTTTGAGGTTTATAGTGTAGTCTGTGACACCCAGAATCATAAAAGACTCTACTGTGTCTCTTTTAAAGGCAAATGTCCATTATATAAAAAAGGCTTAAAATGTGATACTGGAAAAATCCTTCACCCTTTAGTCATTCAAAGAAAAGATTAAAAAAAATAGTAAATACTTTATTTTCGGGACTTAGAACAAGTTTTAAGTCATAATTGGCTACCCTCTAAGTTTCCTTCTCCCCTCACTGCCTTCTCTAAGATGCTCCACTTCATATTTTTGCATGCTGCCCAAATATCTGCTAAAAGCGGCCGTGGAATGTTGCTGAAAAAATCCACATCCATTACTCTATAAGTTGACTAGAAAAATACCAGAACATTATTTAGTAAAATATATTTCTGGACCCATTGTTTAAGTAACCTGATAGCTAATATTTTAAAACATTCCATATTGTTGAACCTTACCTGAAAAAGTCCTGATGTGAAAACGCTGAACAAAAGAAAGAAATTAAACCCACACATTTGAAACCAGTCAAGAAGGGAATTCTTCCCAAAAACATTACTAAAGTGTGTGCATATTTAGCAGATAAGCCACAAAAGAATAATTAGCCAACATGGGAGGAAGAAATGTGAAGATTATGCTGGTTGCACTTTTTTCTTCTGGGAGGATAACTATATCATTAACATAACAAATGAGTATATTTTAATGAAATCATCTTCAACGCGATTGTTTCTGAAGAAAACTTTTGTTATAGAGTGCTCACTTTCTCACTAAGTTAATAGTTAATGGGAATGTTCTAGAGGCTCTTCGGCAGGAAATAGGTGGCTGATGATGTAGGGTTTGGAGAGTGGGGGGAATAGGTTCAAAACTAGTGAGGATGATAGTTTTAATTCAAAAGTAAAATGAATATTCTACCTATGAGTTGGAATAAAAGGGATTTAATACCATGTAAGGGTACGTCTATACTTACTTCCTGGTCCGGATGTAAGCGATCGATCTTCTGGGATCGATTTATCGCGTCTTGTCTAGACGCGATAAATCGATCCCGGATCGATCCCGGAAGTGCTTGCCGTCGACGCCGGTACTCCAGCTCAGCGAGAGGAGTACGCGGCATCGACGGGGGAGCCTGCCTGCCGCGTCTGGACCCGCGGTAAGTTCGGACTAAGGTACTTCGAATTCAGCTACGTTAATAACATAGCTGAATTTGCGTACCTTAGTCCGAAGTGGGGGGTTAGTGTGGACCAGGCCTAAGTTTTCAAAATAAGCAGAGTTGATAGCTCTGTTTAACCACATGAGCAATACAATGAGTTTTTAGAGTAACAGCCTCAATTTCAGAAATACTGAACTCACACAACTATCTTTGAAGTTAATGGGAGCTAAGAGTGCTTAGCAGCTCTGAAAACTGGGAACTAAGGAATCCTGGGCAGGACACTGGCACAATGCCTATACCTGTCGTATACCCCATTTTCAGGGTTTAAGTGGGACATAGGCTGTGTCCTGATCCCTTTCACATGGGTAACTTCACCCTAAACCTTCATTTTGGTAAAAGCCAACCTGTACTATTGAGAATAAATTTGAAAAAATAAAGGCATCCGTCCCTGTGTGAAAGTATGGCCACAGAGTCATGGAGAGGATAACAAACTCAGTGCAAGTCTGTCTTTTGTGGGAGAGTTATGTTCAAACAGTAACTGACAGATATGTAAGCCAAGGTTGTAAGGTGTCAATGCCCACTTTGACTGTGAACAAGACTATTAGATGAAGACAAACACAGAAGGCTGAGTTCTGGATCAGCTGTGTAAGTACAATGCACATGTTCCTTTCTCTGTCTCTCATACGGCCTGAGAACAGTAGGTGGAATGTGGTGATTGCTACATATGGGGGGCTGGATGGCTCAGGAGTTAGGTGCTGGGATATGGAATATTTTACCTTTAAGTCATTGATTTGAAAATAGCAAGATCAGAAATGACTAAGGCCAGGTCTACACTACCCCCCTAATTCGAACTAAGGTACGCAACTTCAGCTACGTGAATAACGTAGCTGA